TTAAAAATGTAGTACCATACGAGTAACTTTTTTTTATCAAATAAAAACACCTAAACTATGAGATTTTGTAATTTTCATTTACAAACTTTATCCTAAAAGTGCACTTTGCAATCCGCAAATTTTAATTACAGGATTTCTCTCGTTCTCACGTGTATATACACCACTGGTTCGGAATACGTACATCAAAAACCTAATTAAAACGTAACTACTTAGTTAATCCCTTCTATGTTGAATGTGTTACTACATGGGGTGCTGTTCGCAGTAAATCCGCTTCAACATAAATATGTGGAAACTGTTCTCTCATCGGAAACCGGAATGGATGTCAATGGAATTACCAGTTGGAATTAAATATAGAAATGTTTTTCTGGCGGAGTGTAGCTCGCCCGAGGATTTAATTTTGGCAATGTTTGTCTCGTAAAAACCAATAACTGGTGGCGGCGCGGATTCAGTACGGTTTCGTCGATCCCATCCCCAGTTCGTCCTTCTCTTTATCCGCGGCGACTGCCCCCAGGGCACCCTCACGTAGACTCAGCCCGTCCCATTCACGCGAAACTGTCATTTTCTCCCCTTTTTAAAGTAGTAATGAACCCGCAGTTAGTTTGTTTAGTTTCGCTCATTGAATTTAACCCCCTCTGTCCAAGATTAATTTGTTTTAATAAAATAGAATTTTAGTTCAAGTTTAGTTTTAACAAACCAAAAGAAATTAGAGAATGAGTTTAGTGAAATCCTTTTATTTTACTAATGAGGGTCTTTTTACGTAAGACGGAGTTATTGGTAATTCAGTTGCTTTGTTCAGGTAAAAAATCTTGTGCTACTGTTACGGTAACCACATCCCCATTTGTCGAAACTCTTAATTACGGCAATACTGCTATTAGTTATCGACGAACAATGATGAATACGTGCGCCCCGTTAAGATCTTCATTGTTAAAAGATTTGCGGTTTTAGTCTTTCTTTTTTCAAGTAGATTTCGTCAAATAGGATTTCTGCTTTACTTGACACATTATCTGCTTTGTAAAATACCAACTGTTTCTTGGAATGAGGCGCCATTAAGATTACCTATTGTTCAACATTCTTTTAACAAGTAAGTACGTACTTCCCACTCATTTACCACAATAAAATAATGCGGTACCACTCATTGCGCACGAAGATGATTTTCATTTCAATATTTGGCACGAAATTCAAATTCGGTATACATAAAATAAGTGCTACTTTATGGATACGATGATACTTTTGTCATTTGGCCACACTGCAAACACCGGTATCTGAAAATTCAGTGCGAAGGAAGTAAAATAAATTTACTCTTCCTGGATGTGTAACATGATGCCATAAGCCAAACGGAATTTCGAGTGTTGACTAAAACGAGAAACGGATGTGACTTTGGCAAAAATGGAGCAAGCTTTAGAAATAAATCAGAAAGAAAAGCAATGTAAGCTAATTCGTACACTCAAAGTGTCAGTGATCTCGCCCAAGACGCCCAGCCACCTAGACCATAACTGATGACATCGCAGGATTAACAGTTAAGTAGTGCTTGTTAGTCATGTTTACCAACGTTCGAATATCAACATTTATATTCTATTGTGCTGTGGAAAAAGCATACATATGGGCTTTACAATGTTCCAGAACCGAACGCAGTTGAGAAGCGTAAATCGAAAACAAAATAGGTACAAGTATGGAAATCTGTAGTACATCTGACATGACACTACCATGTAGAGACAACTCTCGATTAAAAGTTATTTGCTGTGATCGATTGCTAAGATAGTTTTGAATAAGTTTGATGCAAATTGCGATAATCCAATACATACAGTGAAGGATTACAACCAATAGTTCTTGCCGCAATTTTCACACAATCCAATCTTCGTTTTTTATATCACTTTTATTTTGCCCGCCACAAGAATCACAAAAAGTTCTTCAATTGTATACGAAAGATATCAAAATTGATAAAATGATTCAGCATTAAACATATTTCATCACTTCCCTTCGTTGAGGGCTCATCATTCGTAGTGATATATACCTTTTGATATTTACCTTTTCAAATAATAAAATTTTCTGCTTTATTTAAATTAAGTTTTCTGTCAACTTGGTGTTTGGCCAGATTTTTATTTTCTTTATGTTTTTCGACAGAATTGCTGACATTGTTTACTCCATTTGTATGAGAAGCTTTTTGAAGCCTAAAAGTATCATAGGGCCAGTACTTTTTTTGGGTAGCCAATTGCCATATCTATGTTATTATTAAGTTCAGTCCTGAATGTGTCGTATGATACGTGATTTTATGGATAGCTATTTATAAACAATCCATGAAGTTTCAAAATATTCAACTCTTCAGGTAAATAAAATTAAACTTATTCGTAATTGACTTATGGCCTCTCAAAGACTTGAAGACTTGAGACTTGGCTAGTTTTCTGAGCTTGTTTTCCCTAGTGATGATACAACAGGCAGGTACATGATGTGTAGGGGCAAACACCCTTTTACATATCTTCCAGGAAAACTTCCTAAAAAACAGGGTTAAATATTTTTTTAGTGTTATGTAACAATTAAGAATTAGACAATAAAATTCTTTAAATTCCTTGAAGTTCTTTATTTATCTGTGTTTATGTTTATGTACTAGCGTCGACGTTACGCGGTCGCCTATCTCACTTCTTCTGCGCAACTGACCGGCCAAGATGGATTTGCCAAGCTGTACAAAGAGACTGGAGAATTTGATTAGGATAATGGAAAAGGAGCTTGGCGTCAGCACAGAATAACCAGAAGTAACACTGGCGGTATCAGTATTATAGCGAGTTTCCAAGGTATGCTGCTATTGGTGGTAAAGATTTGGCGTGATATTCCGCCAAATAGTGTCATTTCTTGTTATTCTGTGTCTTTGCTAACTCGTGATAAGATGGCGGATTTTAAATCGAGATCACAAAACGAGCCAACATCAAACGAATCGACGGTAGTGTCATTTCTGGTTATTCTGTGGCGTCAGTATTGGTAACACTTGGAACATCGTCAGAAGTAAGATCGAAGTTCGATCGTTTCCACTTCCTCAACGATACAACGAAGCTGAAAAGATTGGAAAATTCTCGCCAAATCTCAGAACCAACGTCAACTTCTCAAGAAGGGTCAGCAGAAGTCCGTCGCTGCAAAATCGCAGCCATTTCCTTGTTTCTGTAATTGGTTTGAGCTGGCATCTGCTCCATCGGGAAAACTTCGTTGGTTTTCATTAATTACAAATTCAAGATCAACGCCGTCAGCTACCAACAGCGAGTTTTGCGAGATGTTCTGGAGCAAGATTGCTTTGCGAAGAGCTGTTTTCGCCTAATTTTCCGGATTTCAATGTAATCCCAATGAATTACTCCATTTGGTCTATTTTAGGGCAAAAAATCTCAAAAACACGATACGTCATTGTAGAACCACTCAAAATGGCTCTGGTACGTGCTTGGGATGAGATTACGGTAGAAATGTGTCTTCGTAAATGTTCTGTTGTTTCACCTTCAACCTGTATAAATAAGATTGGATGCGAAACACACTTTTACCAACGTCGGGTTATTTGAGGTTAAGTTAAGAACACCCTAATACATATACATACAGACTGTATTTTGCATGACGGACACATCATTATTCCCCGCAGAGTCATAGGACTATCTTCTGCCATGGAACTATTATTATTCATCTCTCCTAAAATTATCAATTGACACTATTAGTTTAATTTTATCACAAAATGGGCTGTACTCGTTTTTCCACTTGACTCTTCAATTAGCTACTAGAGCTTGATAAGAAATATCGATCAAACAGCCTTAGTGAAGATTAATTATTCCAGAAAGTCCAAAGGTCTAAAACAACAAAGTCCAGTAGGTAAAAGAATATCTACTTACTTTCCAGTTTTCTTCACAGATTCTGTCATAGTCAAAAGCATATCCATTTTTGCACTTCCACCCATATTCGTTGTAATAAATCATATGTATTGGTTTATTGATCTTTAAGTTTTGACTCGTTTCTGACATCTTTATCTCATTTCTATTTACATCTTCGACTTTTTATTTGTACCCCGTGACGCAACTGACCATAACAAAAAGCTTTACCCCGAAGCGGGCTTCAGCTTTACTTCCGGAATGATAAATGTACCTCGAAGAGTAATAAACTTTCCTGTATACCAATATTTTAAAAATAGAACAACGAATTCTGGAAAGTTGAGCGAAAATGCAGAATCCATCAATAGATATCGATCACGTGGTCGATCCAATAATCTTTGATTTTGTTTTTTCTTAGTGGCATAACATAATATAACATACATTTCATCCACTGTTTTAGGTATCTAATTTAGCACTACATTTTCTGAATTTTTTTCCATAAATAAATCATGGTACATATTTGTTTGAATAAATTATCCAACGAGCATTAAACATGGTCCTTATTGGTTGTTATAATATGACCAAGCTTTTAACTCGAATCATTTCGCGGTATAAAACGGACAAGATATGGTGAGCAGAAACGATTAGACCCGAAAGAAAATCCAACATTCATTAATTTTTAAAACCAAATAGGTACGATAATGCGTAAATATCGGTTTATGACTAAAGATAATCACCTAATTACATATGCATTACATTATACTCGACCCGGCAATAAATAAGAGTTTCGACGCGAAATTAAATGTGCTATCTTTACAATTTGAACACCTGATGCGCTTCTCAGAGACAAGCACATTGCGCTAGAATTTTTGGCCACTCTTCTCCTCTGCTGTAATCGCCCACTGGTTCATACTATCTCTGTTTAACTTATTCCGACCAACGATAAAATCCTGCAGTAACGAAATAACCTCGTATAATATTGTCCCCCAATTCATTACACCGTTTAATAAAATTTCATAATGTGATGTCGTCGGCGCGGTTTACACGATGTCGGCGTCTGCGCCCTTTTCCATAAACGTTCCGAACAACGTTTCGATTGGTTTAAAGCTTTAGGGTGGGCAGAACTCTCGGTCGACGTCGGAGTTAACCCTCCAAACGGACGATTCAAAAGTTCAGTTTGGGCTACGAACCCCGTCTAGTGAACTCTTAGAACGATAAAATTAATCAGTTCTTTTTTTGCTCGAAAACATTTTCGTTAACGTGTCAAATAAAACATTTTTTTAAAATAAATAATGGCTCAAGGAACTCAACAATCCGAAGAAATGCGTCCAAAAAACGTTTATTCCATCGAACAATTGTTGGGAATGGCTAAAAGTTCTCCGTCAAAAGAAAAACAACCAGAAGGTAAGTTTCAAAATTTGACTATTTGCAATTTTTGAGTTGTATACGATACGAGTGATTTGAATTTTTGCGCATGAGCAAAGTCAATCTTGAAAATTGTTTTCCGAAACTTTCGCCAGAGGCGATGTAAAGTAAAGCTGTGGGTTTATAATTTCGTTAGGGAGATTAGGACAGTTTTAGAAGGGGTTGGAAAATTGGTTGTGGGGATGAAAATGGTTGATTTTCACAGTTTGTTAGAAAATAATTAGTAATTAGGCAACTTTTCGATCCTGCTATTTATTAACTTTTTATAAATTAGAGCAATTAATTATTTTTGTGACAAGTAAAGCGTAAAATCCTCATTGTTCGTGTTTTTTAATACATAATAGATACGTTTAGAATAAGTTTCATACAATGTTAGGTATTTAGTTAGTAAATTTGACCCATTCAAGTGGGTATTAAGGTGCTTTTAAACTTCGAGGGTGACTCGGAGGGTTCAATAAAAAATAAAACGAGGTGTGTTCTCTTTATATGGTAAGAGGACATGCATGCTGTTGAGTGTACACAGGGGATGTTATATTTTAAATGACAATATAACTAAAGAGCTAAAGAACCGACTCTTTTTGATCCCTACTATTTATATAAGTTCTTTTTTGTGTTTCAACCGGTGGGGTTATTGTTATTGTTAAAAATCTTTGTGTAAACTCGAGGATCGTTTACACATCATAAATTAGCCATAACGATGTTTTGATTTTCAAACACAAATTAATTAATGAGAATTTAGTAGTATGTAAGTATTCAAATAATCTTCATTGAATGAGGATTACATTTTTGTTCGTTCAAAAAAAAATGAATTGTGTAGTTCGAACAATTTACGAGTTGTATTCACTGTTTATCGTACCCGTGCAGGATTTTCGCTATTCATGATCGTAGGGCATAAAAACGAACTAAAAATATAAAAGGATTATCGTTGTTATACAACGCTTTACTCATAGTTTTGATATCCAACAGAAAACCAGGTGTATCACGTGGAAATATTAAAAAATAAATTGAATAGGTTTATTTCAGTCAATTTTAAAAAGAAATTAATAATCCAAGTTAACCTACTCAATTCGTTCTCTTTGGTTTATAACGTTTTAGTTGAAAATTTAGTATTCATAACTAGACATGGAGCATCATCTCTTTTATACATGGGGGAGGGGATAAATGGTATAGGATGGGCGCCACGACGCCCTTCGCTTTACCCTTCACGTATGGCGAAGGGGGGCGACGCTAACGTCCGGTTCGAGCCGGACATGGACACAGGGCGCTTTAGAACATTTGATTCGTTTATGGAAATGGACGGACGAGCGCGTTGTACGTGAGCCCGAGCGCATCTCGAATTAAGTCTCGATGAAAGAGCGGAACGGACCAGAATCCGATTAACATTATACTGAAGAGAGCGCGCGGTGCACACACGCGTCCGCCGGCTCACAAAGATGAAACAACCTGGGGGTTTAGCGCAGGAAATTGCCCACACAACTTAAAAATAAAACGTCTAGTATGACCAAAACGTAAACTCTCTACTATATAATGCATACACAAGATAATTATATGTGTATTGTGTTTAAAAGCTTATGGGGCAGTTTCTACCGCAATAATAAACCATCATTAAATTTTAATATTCATTTGTGGTGCTCNAAATAAAACGTCTAGTATGACCAAAACGTAAACTCTCTACTATATAATGCATACACAAGATAATTATATGTGTATTGTGTTTAAAAGCTTATGGGGCAGTTTCTACCGCAATAATAAACCATCATTAAATTTTAATATTCATTTGTGGTACTCGTCAATATTATTTTCTAGAAGAAAAATGCAATAATTTGTTAACTACATTTAGAAGAAAAATCGTAATTACCGTATTTTCTCGAATCTTATCCGCACTCGAATCTAACCCGCACCCCGATTTTAAAAATGCATAGTGGTAAAAAAATTTAGTTTGCGAATGTAATCCGCATCTTTCTCTGAGCAATTCGACAACACCAAAACAATGCGTTGCTTGTTGTTAACCATAAATATATATTTTTTCCGTTGACTGACGCTGATGCACCTAAAGAAACCTTGTTTACGACGAGTTTTTATTGGACTAAACTTTAAATTTACCAAGCCATTAAAAATTGGAAAATAAATATAATTTGAAAAATAAATAGTAATGCCTAGCACGAATTCAGTTCATATACCGCCCTCGTAGTAGCTCGAACGTGGTGTGTGTTTAATTATACATATATTAGAGTAATTATGGAAAAAAAGTAGCAAAAATCGAAGAGGCTCTTCTATACAGCGAAGTTTAAAGAGATGTTATTAAGTCAGCGTTAAAAGAAAGAAATCGAAAAGCTGGTACAATTTTTGCCGTTAGTTAAACGTTGCGGCTGTTGCGGAAAGACAAGGCAGCTATTGCAGACTGTGAGGCATCGTGCAAAAAATTTACCGTGTCAAAGAAGAGACGATTTCATGAAATTGACGTGGCAGTTTTCTGGTTCTCTCAAGAAAAACGGAAGGAGAGACTAAAAAATTTTTAATACTAGCAAAGGTTGGACAAACAACAATTTCCCAAAAGCTCCTAATGATTTTCAAAAAAATTTCAATTTATCTCAAACGGAATGGCAGTATATGCCTCCCAATTATACACTGGAAAGAAGAGGTGTGTGGGAAATTTCCTTAGAAACGAGTGGTTGCGAAAAATTGCGCATAACATTGATGCTAGCAGTAACAAGTGATAGGGAACAATTGCTGTCATTATTAATATTGAGAAAAAAACCATTCTGAAATCCGAAAGACTTCCCGGATGACATCTTAGTTAGGGCACAACAAAAAGGATGGATAATAGAAAAGCTTATGATGGAATGGTTAAGACAAGTATGGAGTCGTAGACCAGGAACACACATGGAAAACGATCCCTGAAAACAATATTATAACATCATTTAAGAAGTTTTGTATAACCAATGCTTTGGACAGATCCGAAGATGACGTAATATGAGCAGAAATGTAAATATCGTTCTAAAACCCTTAACAGTGTTATTGTTATAATGCGATTTTATTTTACTAATAACTTTATCTAATCCGCACTCGATTGTAATCCGCATTTGATTTTAGAGCATATAAAATTTGTAAAAAGGGTGCGGATTAGATTCGAGAAAATACGGTATTACGATAAGAGCCACAAAGGCATAACAAAGCAGAAAAAATACCAACATGGTAAGCAAAATAGCAATCAAAATCATCATCATGAATGTTGTCAGAAAGATGTGCTTTCAGCCTTAGATTGCTAACATTTCAGTAAAAAAACGTTGATAACAANATAAGAGCCACAAAGGCATAACAAAGCAGAAAAAATACCAACATGGTAAGCAAAATAGCAATCAAAATCATCATCATGAATGTTGTCAGAAAGATGTGCTTTCAGCCTTAGATTGCTAACATTTCAGTAAAAAAACGTTAATAACAATGGTGGCGGTGCGATCATTGTTTATGCCATTCTTCTCTTTTTAATTAAATATAGACGTAGTGCAACCATGTTTCCATTTGTTGTGACTTAGAGGAAGCAAAATAAAAACTTTTTTGTTAATCCGCAAAATTGATTCTGCAATCCTTCACCAGAAAAGAAATTGAAATCATTTGCGTTCTTAAGCCTACAATACATCTTTATGCGTTATGATTCAACACAACAGGTGAAGCTCACAACAAAGCATCAGTTCTTATACTATACTTTGATCACAAAGAGAACATTAAACTAATCAATAATAGATCGACTCTCAAAAGAGACACTATGTATAAACACAAAAAGTTCCAAAACTCCTTAGGATCTCCAAAAATATTATCCTCCCCACTTCAAAACTCATCTCTGGTGAACAGCTTTCAGCATAGTTTTGATAAGCATCCGTAAACTTTTAAATCCACTGTTGAGGATAACGATATTGAAGAAAAATTACCATGCTTCACTCATATGGATTTTTTTAATACAACATCACGATGTTTCAAATCTAGAAAGTTGTAAAAATCACCAATGAATCTGTCTTGTTTCAAGATACATTGAAAACATTATAGGAAGAAATATTCGCAAGTTATAGTTACCCACAATAAGCTATGGCAGTACCAACTTCAACATCTCTACATTAGTTCCGTAACTTACAAAATCATGACGCTGTGTTAACATAGAAAAGAACAACAGCATTCACCAAGAGCTTGAATGTGTCTAACAAATTACAAGATAATTTTCTGGGTACCACCATCATCTCATAATTCCACATTATAAACCGAATTATTTAGCTAAGCTGCAGTGTTAAAGTATTCAAATAATTCATGAACACTTAACGAAAAGAACAACTGTTGGGAATTTTTGTTTTTCCTGGTTCGATTGTAATTCTTATTACCACTTCAACCTCACTCACTTGTCTTAGTATTTCGAAACTACATGTACAACTAAAGACTTCTCTATGCTTCAATGGATGATTCCTCAACCAGAGATTATTGCATAACAGACTTTAAATTTCTAACCTTCTCTATTACAGATATATGATTAAGTTCAGAGGAATGTATGACTTTCAGAGATTTGGGATTATGTCTTAGGACTGTCTCACTTATTAAGACGTAGAGTTCTTATGACATTTGCGTCAACATTCAAATCCTTGCTAATATACCAGATCTAATGAAGACTGCAAACAATATTGTTTCTCCCCTTTCAGATATCTCCTGAATAGCTCTCCTTTCAATGTTGGCCATTTCTAGGATTTGAAGTAACAATTTTCTCTTGAATGTAGGTTACTTCATTTTCAGTACAATTTCCATAAAACCGCCTAAGTCGGCAATAATGTTTAGACAGCCTCAAGAAAATTCAGATTTGTTATGAATTTTATGTTCATCCGTAGAAGAGATATCAACACAATCAATGTTATGTCAGGTAATATAACAGATCAAACGGTGCTTCTCAGCTTTTTTTTTGTTACAACAAGAGCAAATCAATTCAACCATTATTGAGTAGAAATAAAAGTCAGTAAAAGCAAAAGCATTATAACATAACTTCTTCTACCAAAAAGCGCTAAGAAATATTTTGGTATGTTTTGCAAACTTTTTGCAAACACACAAAAATTGTTCATAATATCAAGTCAATTATCGCATCTCGACGAGAAAGCAACAAATCCCCACTTGATTACAAAATTACGGTCATGGAATAAATTGTATGTTTCCACATACCTGGAAGACAACGCCGATTATATCCGTTAATAAGACAAATAATTTCACTGAACCTCAATGAATCGAAAATTAGTTTCTATTTTGCTCTCCTAAACTTTTCTAAGATGTCACATAATCACCACGACACCCTCACTTGTAACTCTATGAAGGTTGGTTGTTAAGGGATGATAAATGGCAAGGAGTTATTTACGGACAATAATGCGGATGCACATTTCTAGGATAAATATGTTCGAAATTACCATCAATCTTTATTGAAAAGGGCTTCATCGCTTGAATGCATCACTTCATAGGAAAATAAAATACCTTTACACAATTGAAACTCCCAAATAAATGTAGCTTTCGTCTATTTGTAAAGCAAAAATATCATTCATATATATACAATACATATGAAATAATAATGAAATTGATTTGAGACGAAATTTTCGATTTAATGAAATGAAAAAAGTGAAAAAGAAAATTAAAANATAAGAGCCACAAAGGCATAACAAAGCAGAAAAAATACCAACATGGTAAGCAAAATAGCAATCAAAATCATCATCATGAATGTTGTCAGAAAGATGTGCTTTCAGCCTTAGATTGCTAACATTTCAGTAAAAAAACGTTAATAACAATGGTGGCGGTGCGATCATTGTTTATGCCATTCTTCTCTTTTTAATTAAATATAGACGTAGTGCAACCATGTTTCCATTTGTTGTGACTTAGAGGAAGCAAAATAAAAACTTTTTTGTTAATCCGCAAAATTGATTCTGCAATCCTTCACCAGAAAAGAAATTGAAATCATTTGCGTTCTTAAGCCTACAATACATCTTTATGCGTTATGATTCAACACAACAGGTGAAGCTCACAACAAAGCATCAGTTCTTATACTATACTTTGATCACAAAGAGAACATTAAACTAATCAATAATAGATCGACTCTCAAAAGAGACACTATGTATAAACACAAAAAGTTCCAAAACTCCTTAGGATCTCCAAAAATATTATCCTCCCCACTTCAAAACTCATCTCTGGTGAACAGCTTTCAGCATAGTTTTGATAAGCATCCGTAAACTTTTAAATCCACTGTTGAGGATAACGATATTGAAGAAAAATTACCATGCTTCACTCATATGGATTTTTTTAATACAACATCACGATATTTTAAATCCAGAAAGTTGTAAAAATCACCAATGACTCTGTCTTGGTTCAAGATACATTGAAAACATTATAGGAAGGAATATTGGCAAGTTATAGTTACCCACAATAAATTATGGCAGCACCAACTTCAACATCTCCAGTAAATGTAAGAAAATTTGCCTGTTTGGTATCGATAGTTCCGTAACTTACAAAATCATGACGCTGTGTTAACATAGAAAAGAGCAACAACATTCACCAAGAGCTTAAATGTGTCTAACAAATTACAGGATAATTTTCTGGGTACCACCATCATCTCATAATTCCACATTATAAACCGAATTATTTAGCTAAGCTGCAGTGTTAAAGTATTCAAATAATTCATGAACACTTAACGAAAAGAACAACTGTTGGGAATTTTTGTTTTTCCTGGTTCGATTGTAATTCTTATTACCACTTCAACCTCACTCACTTGTCTTAGTATTTCGAAACTACATGTACAACTAAAGACTTCTCTATGCTTCAATGGATGATTCCTCAACCAGAGATTATTGCATAACAGACTTTAAATTTCTAACCTTCTCTATTACAGATATATGATTAAGTTCAGAGGAATGTATGACTTTCAGAGATTTGGGATTATGTCTTAGGACTGTCTCACTTATTAAGACGTAGAGTTCTTATGACATTTGCGTCAACATTCAAATCCTTGCTAATATACCAGATCTAATGAAGACTGCAAACAATATTGTTTCTCCCCTTTCAGATATCTCCTGAATAGCTCTCCTTTCAATGTTGGCCATTTCTAGGATTTGAAGTAACAATTTTCTCTTGAATGTAGGTTACTTCATTTTCAGTACAATTTCCATAAAACCGCCTAAGTCGGCAATAATGTTTAGACAGCCTCAAGAAAATTCAGATTTGTTATGAATTTTATGTTCATCCGTAGAAGAGATATCAACACAATCAATGTTATGTCAGGTAATATAACAGATCAAACGGTGCTTCTCAGCTTTTTTTTTGTTACAACAAGAGCAAATCAATTCAACCATTATTGAGTAGAAATAAAAGTCAGTAAAAGCAAAAGCATTATAACATAACTTCTTCTACCAAAAAGCGCTAAGAAATATTTTGGTATGTTTTGCAAACTTTTTGCAAACACACAAAAATTGTTCATAATATCAAGTCAATTATCGCATCTCGACGAGAAAGCAACAAATCCCCACTTGATTACAAAATTACGGTCATGGAATAAATTGTATGTTTCCACATACCTGGAAGACAACGCCGATTATATCCGTTAATAAGACAAATAATTTCACTGAACCTCAATGAATCGAAAATTAGTTTCTATTTTGCTCTCCTAAACTTTTCTAAGATGTCACATAATCACCACGACACCCTCACTTGTAACTCTATGAAGGTTGGTTGTTAAGGGATGATAAATGGCAAGGAGTTATTTACGGACAATAATGCGGATGCACATTTCTAGGATAAATATGTTCGAAATTACCATCAATCTTTATTGAAAAGGGCTTCATCGCTTGAATGCATCACTTCATAGGAAAATAAAATACCTTTACACAATTGAAACTCCCAAATAAATGTAGCTTTCGTCTATTTGTAAAGCAAAAATATCATTCATATATATACAATACATATGAAATAATAATGAAATTGATTTGAGACGAAATTTTCGATTTAATGAAATGAAAAAAGTGAAAAAGAAAATTAAAAATTCATATCTTTTGAACGAATTAAGATATGATGATGAAATAAAATGCATTTTATAGGAAATTTAACAGAGATTTAGTATGCCATAAATAATTGCTTACATTCCATAAATATAATTGATATGATTTTTTTTAAACCAAACCATGCACATTTATTATAGATTTTAAGAGCAGAAATTAAAAATGCATATTTTAAGATCGAATTAAGATATGATGATGAAATAAAATGCATTTTAAAGGAAATTTAACAGAGATTTAGTATGCCATAAATAATTGCATTCATTCCATAAATATAATTAATATGATTTTTTTAAACCTAACGGTGCACATTTCTTATAGATTTTAAGAGCAGAAATTAAAAATACATAACGTATGAACGAATTAAGATATGATGATGAAGTAAAATGCATTTTAAAGGAAATTTATCACAGATTTAGCCATTTACCATAAATAATTGTTTAAATCGCATAAATATAATTAGAAGTATTATTTTTTTTAAACCTAACTCTGCCTATCTATTATACATTTTAAGAGCATAAATTAAAAATGTATATCTTTTAAACGAATTAAGATATGATGATGAAATAAAATGCATTTTAAAGCAAATTTAACAGAGATTCAGTATACCATAAATGATTGTTTATATTCCATAAATATAAATAATATGATTTTTTTAAACCTAACTGTGTACATTTCTTATAGATTTTAAGAGCAGAAATTAAACATACCTATCTTACGAGTGAAGTGAGGATTGAGATAGAAACGATGTAAGGAACAAATTAAAGCAATTTTAATGAAGACTTAACCTAAAAATTGTTCCCAATGGCATTTTTTTAATATTAAGTTTAAATAATCATTACCTCTTTAAAAAATCATAATAAATCGGGGTTTTAATAAATCGATACGAAATTATCACTATTTATACATAAAATCGTAAGCTTTGTAATGAAAAAGACCGCTTTTCAAAAAATCTTTTAGTTTTTGAGCTATGAATTTTTAAAGACAATTATTTCTTTTTTATATTTAAGGTTATGATTGAAAGAAAAACGATTTCTTAAGAAGTTTTTTACTTTCTAATAAAAGAATATGTTTTGAAGAATTTCTCTTTATATACTTACAATAAAATTAGTATATGGGAATATTGGAGTTTTATTAAAATAAAATAGAATAAAAATTTTAAATTTCAAACACACGAAGTTCTTTTCTTCAAGAAAAAAGTGTAAAAATGTATTATAGTTAGTATACAAAAGCAATTATTTACCGTTAAATTGTAAAATATTCACCTATTGTAAAAGCAAAGAAGCGTTAAAGTGGTTGTTTGTCTTTTTAAGAGGATTTAAGAAAGCTATTTTTTTCTTTCCTAGGAAACATCATTACTATACAATACTTGTTAATAATTTTAACTTGAAACAGGTTTTTTTAAAATTGATACTATTTTTTTTTCAACAAAAAACAGTTTTTTTAATATTGGTCATTTTTATTTTTGATAACATTCCAGTAGCAATATAGTTGCCACTTCTGCTACGGATGAGTCGATTACGTTTTTTTTTCAAATATTTTCCAATAAAAATGCAAAAGTTGTAGGTATTTATTTATTCGCTAGATATTAGTATTTTATTTTGTTTATATAATCCGCCCTTTGATTACGGCTTAAACCCTAAATATTTTTATATTTAAAATATTTTCAAACTGCAAATTTATAAATAAATTTACAAGAAAAAAATTGTAATTATTTTACAGTGGAAGAGCCACGTTTGGAAATTGCCAGCGAAGGTGAACTAAACGAAGTCGATTTACAAGAAGATCAAGGCGACCAAGAACGACCAAGGAAAGTACGAAGGTCGCGAACTACCTTTACCACTTTTCAATTACATCAATTAGAAAGAGCTTTTGAAAAAACACAATATCCGGATGTTTTTACAAGAGAAGAATTAGCTGTTAGGTTGGATTTGAGTGAAGCTCGTGTACAGGTTGGTATTTTTTATTTTTGACAAATTAATTTTGACAAGATTAATTTAATTTAAAAGAAGTCATTTTTGGTTGAAATTACAAATGACCCCAAATGACTAAGTTCACCGTTGATACTGGCGTTCTTGAAGCTGTTTTGTCTGGTATGCTTTAGCATTTCCTTTGTAGCCTTTATGGCCTTCGTTTTGGTCAACACTTGCGGCGTGTACTTTGGCAGAAAGTTCGTTAAAGACCAGATTATTATCGACGTGTCCACTAAAAGGGTGCCACCCCGAGCTTACATAGCATATTTTAACTTTAATAAATTAAATGCTTCTCAGTATTAATATACATAGGTAACTATATATTAAAATAAAAATAATATTGTGTTATCTCGAATACTTTATTTTAGTAATTAAAAAAAACTTTGATTTATTTTTTTGGAACAAAAATTTTTTGTGCGAGACGGCGTTCAATAAAAGTCCTTTAGCGAATAGAAACGAGAGTTACGGAAAGGACAGGACCGTCAGTTCATAGGAAGGTCCGGATGGAACCCCGATTACCCCCATTGTACCACGACAATGGGCAATTGCGGGGACCACTTGCGCCCCTTTACAGGGCCGGATTAATTATCAAAATTGTCGCCAATTAAGATGCGATTCACGGTCTGGCCATTATCCGAGCGGCACTGATTCAATAAGCCAATCAAATTGACGCGCAACAATAGATATTAACATTAATAGCGCAAAAGGGGCCGTAAACGGGGTACATTTGGGGGGTGGCGGACGAGCGGTGGACGACGAACGTGCGATTCGTGCCGCAAATTCAGGCAATTATGGCAAATTCGCAACAATAGATCACTGTTAATTGGGGTGATACAATTTCGGGGGCGTTCTCTTCCCCATAAATGGAAAGATAATTAATTTTTTTTATGTTAAACGATTATAATGAAAGATATTGTAATAGTTTTCTCAAAAGAGTTAATAATTAACAACAAATTGAAAGAATGTTATTCATCATCGATATTAATCCATAAACAGTGAAAATATTGTGTAGTAAAGATTATTGAATTTTTACCTGAACCATTTTACCGTTTTGAATACATACAAATATTCAAGGTTCTTAAGAAAATATCGAAAACACAACTTTACTAACCAGCATGTAAACTAAAAAGTAATTACATAAAACCAAATCAATGTGCCGCTACTTATTGTTAGAGAACTGTCAAAGGTAGGATTTTGCGCTCTAAAACACAGATCTATTTGGAAAGTAAAACATATACTGAACAGATCAACAACGCTCTCGGGAGTCTATTATTGACCTATCAGAGCCTGACTGTTGGACTATTTGTTATTGAAATATCTGGTCTCTATTCTCTTGGCTTAATGTACACTCTATCTATGCATCATTTAATCTCTTCATTAGAAATGTGCTCTAGGCGTGATATTGTGTTTGCTCTTCGTATGAAGTCCACTTCAACTGTTTCGATTTTGTTGATATATTTGGGATATGGGATTGAGACCTCTAGCAAATTCTGTCCCATATCTCAATATAGACTCCTTGATTGTCCTATAGATTCTGACTTTTGTTTCAAAAGTAATTTTATTCGATTATTGCAAAGAATCGGCCGAAGAGGAAGGCCCAGGACAATATGGACTATGATCAAGGAGTTGGACGAATGGGGAAAAACATGGGGAGAAGCAAAGCTAAGCCGTATGCTCTAGATAAGGATTTACAAGAATGTATAGCAACGAATTTAGTATCCTCATACATCTTTGACCTTACTGCACTGATTTTACTACATCCCTGATGTTCCTTTCTTAGATATCTTACTGCCGAGGTATTTATATTCCTCGCATAGCTTTTTTATTGTTTCCTTAACATATAATCAATGTCTTCCTAGGTGTTCGAAACAACCAATAGAACATAATCGAAGAACAAAGCGGTTAGGCATCGATCACCGATCTCTATTCGAAGCTCATTAGTGAGCATTTTTGTCCCCAGTTCTTCAGAGCTTTATGGATGTACATTTTAAAGAGAGTTGTTAAGAGGAAGCATCTTTGTCTTAATCTTTTCGTCATTGGGAATAGTTTAGAAATTTCGTTTCTCTATTTTACTACACTTTAGGGTTGTTTTAGATGCTTAGGATTTACCATGTCACTCTTTGCCAAAATTTTAAACATCTTTTCCAACGATATCATATAATAGGCTTTCTTCATATCCATAAATGCAAGATGTGTGGGTAAGTCTCAGGCTATGCGCTTTTCAATTACTTGTAGTAAGGAAACCGCAGTGTTCTTCTATTTCTTCGTTATCATGTTCTATAGTTTTTTTGTAATTCTGCCATACAACCGTCCTACCGAACTCTAACATTTACTCTTGTATAGTTTCTGCATTCTCTCGTACTCCTCTTTTTTATGGAACTAATGTATATCAAGTTGCAGTCACCTGGAATGTTTTGTGTCTCTATCAGATATTTATTAAAAATATCTGTTAGGGCTTTTATCACAATATGTGCAACATGCTTTAAAAGTTTCCAGTTTTCATCTCTTTTAGTGCTTTTTTTACTTCGCTGTTTGTTATACATTCAAGGTCAATACTGCCATCTATCTGTACCTCGTCTATTCAGTCTTTGAATTCTGACCTTTCTTCTGTAAGCAGTTGTCTATAAGCTTCTCGCCATTCTTTTCCCTTTATTAGACTGTCACTTCAAGATTCTTTTCGTTTTGCTCGCGATACCTTTGATCCTACCAAACACCTTTTTACTTCTTCACATAACTTTTGTAACATTGTAACTGAGAAGCCATTTTTGATATGTTATCTTTTTGTCATCAAAACATTGACCACCACCCTGGGTACTATATTTCATCATTCCTGTTCACCCAACATAACCATAATAATATCTTAATAATAAAAATTCTCTACAATGCATCTTTACTCATTTTGCAACATAATATCAAGTCAATTGAGAAGAAGAGTTTTAAAATTTACGATCCAACTAATAAAACCTTGTTTCGAGATACACGTATGCGAAATTTCAACGATTATTTATGAATCGGCATTGCAAAAAATTTTCTTGACGCTTTTTTTTATTTCATCCTTATTTCTGCCATGATGTTTTACTCTGTCCTGCAGATTAGTCTCACATCAAATAATTTGCAGAGTTTCAAGCTACCTTCTTCAATAGTTAGATGCAGCAATTCCATCAAGGATTAAATCGTAATTACACATACTGATGGATGTTGATACAACCACCTCAACGGTCTGCTCGGTCTGCATCTATATAATTATAATATTGCTTCTTTTCGGGTCATTCAAAAATGGTTAAAATGTTTTGCTACTAATTTTGAAACATTCCAATGTTACCTAATAACCTGAGTACGAAGGTGACTCTGTGATTCTTTTCGTATGCTTAATTTATAATGTTCGGTTTACAAAATTTACGTGTTTATATTAAATCAACGTCCTCGAATACTGTTTTTCAAAAAGAGCCACATCACCACAAAAAATGCCGGGACTAAATAGTTCGGTAACCAGTTGAAACTTTTTTGTAGAACTACTTGCATTGACGTACTCCTGCTCTATTTGAATGCTTCAATGACTGCTTCAATATTTTCTCGTGCCTTTTTATCTGCTGCTCTTTTGATCGCGTGCATAAAAATAATAACAGCAAAAAGCTCGGTTCTTTTAAAGCGTTTAACACAACTTACGTGAAATTTTAATATAATCAGCCGCAACCCTACCACTTAAGACATAAATGTACCAAAACCTATATTTTGATTAACTGTATCTAATAAATAAGAAGACAATAAAAATATGAACTCAACTAAGAACAAAAAAGTTCATTAAATAAAAATTTATAAACATTCATATTTTTTAATTAATAATTTTTTTAATCACTCAAAAATCTGTTCTCATTTTAAAGAACCTTTTAATTCGTTCCTAAAAGCGTCACAAAAGAGCCAAGTGGTCACCGTAATTTGTCGAGCACCCTTAACACACTCTCGAAACGCAACAAAGGGTTTCAATTATACCATTACCTACACGTTAAATGAAAACGTTAAATTGCACACGCTTCTCGCTTGTTGTTCTATTATTTCCACCTTACAAGGTGTTGCTTATGTGGACTTTAATGTTTTCAGGTTTGGTTTCAAAATCGACGAGCCAAATGGCGAAAACGCGAGAAAGCCATGGGAAGAGAAGCCACACCGTTTATGCATCACGAACAAGGTACTAAGTTAATTTTAACTTTTTGAATGTATTGTAATTTTATTATTTCTTTTATAGCGCTTCCAGAATTTGCTATCCATCCTAGATTGGGTATGCCCCCGGTTCCACCGGAAGGTTTTTGGCACGGACTCCCTCTCCCGTCGGTGTTTAGTTATCCATTGGCTTTTCCGTGGGGTGCAAAACCGCCGATGTCTCTTCCGTTCCATGCGTTTTTATCACAATACGTTTTGGCAAATGGAGCACCTCCTCCGTCGAGTTTACCAGCACCTTCTGAAGATAGATCACGAAGCACCAGTCCTGAAGTGACTCCGAATTGTCCTCCATCACCATCGAGGACGATGGAAGCGCTCAGAATGAGACAACAAGTATCAAGGTCATCACCTCAACATCATCAATTACACGCGTCTTAAGTGTGATTTTGTTTGAAATTGTTTTGTACATAGCAGGATTAGTGATTGAGTAATTAGTGGATATTTATTACAATCCCGTTCCCCCGTTACAAGTGATAGAAAAACCTACTTTGAGTATGGAAAAACCTTTTCAGTGTAATATAGTAGTATTAATCTGGTGTATATAATATTGTATCGATCGTTTGATGATATAGTGACGAATGTATTTAGTGTATTATTATTGTATTATTCAAAATAGACACAAAAAACCGTATAACGTGTAATATAATATGTCAAGTTCTTTATAAGATAAATAAAATAAGAACGTGCAATTAATATTTTTGTTTTTTTCTTTCAATTTGAGTTCCTTAAAAGTTAATATATTAATAAATCTATATTGATGAAAAAGATGTGGATGAAGGAGTATTTGCGGATATCCTTAGAAATATGGGGAATCGATTGCGTGGAAACCTGATGGGTAAAGAGTGGACGCACCGGACTTTATATTAAAATCGCTAAGTGGCTTAGAACAGATCCCGTAGGCAAATAGCGGCTCAATTTAAATTTTGATCCTTATTTAAGTGGTCTTTTGTTTTTCGATAGCTCTTGAGACCCGAGTCGTAGCTTTCAAGAGTCAGACGCGGAGTCGTTAAAATTAATTTCCTCAGTCGTCGTCCACCAGCCCAACCAGCTATAACACGTATCACCTTTGATTATTTATTTCTATTTATTACATAATTTTTTATTAAGAAATCAAAAATTCTTAACGGTTTAAAATCAATCTTGAGTAATTGTAAAGAATTTTTCTTGTGGTTGAGGTAAGTGTGAAATTCTAAGAAGTCGGCAGTTGTTAGGTCGGGGGAGTAAATTGAGGGTGGATTCGAAAATTATCCCTTTGACGGTTACCCGACAGGACGAGGCGTTCGGGCGAGCGCGCTCCTGTTTAATGGACCAAGAGAGTGGTCTCGATCCGGGTACCGAGATTAAGGAAAGAATGCTTAGACAATGGAAGAGGAAACCAAACCGACCAGAAAAGCGTAAAGTGACGCCGCCGCCACAATACGTGAAAGGGGACAAACGCCGAACTACAAAGGAACCGACCCGAAGAGCAGTCCTACTATTTAGACCAGAGTGTAACTAAGATGAAACTTAAATCCTTTTATAATACGAGTATTTTGTCACTTTTTCTATCACTTTCAAATAAATAATTTTATATTCACTCAAAATCAGGTTGGAATGTATTAAGTTACAACATAAAATATATAAAGTTATGCAAGGAGGAACTTGAAATACACCTTAACAATCAAATCGGGTTCGATTGCGATACTTTTGGATTGAGTAATATGAGGAATATACTTTGAAAAATGATGAAATTTGATTGACGTTATGGATTTAGACGTAAATGATTTCGTTTTGGACAAACTTTTATGCAGAAGATTGTGATCAGAATGAGGTACTATGGAATTGGCTATAATATAGGATTGAGATATTCTTCGATTTAGCATGAGGTTAAGTTGAGACATCGAGACGCTTTGTATTAGCTCGTAGAGCACATATAAGACTCATTTTTCACTTCAATATCATTTTAACGATAAAAACTTTTCCATAACTTCATTTTCAAAAAAAATCTTTTAATTCATTTAATCTAGGAACTTACAATTAGGCATAATTTAACCTTAAATAGCTTTTATAACTTCAAAAAGATTTTATTTTTCAACGCCCGTTCATTTCGGCGAAAAGAATGCTTTTCGTTAACGTTACTTTCAAAATCTGGCAATAATCTTATAAAAATTGTTATGAAAAAAACTGTTAATTTAGGAAACTCAAACTCTGTGTCAAAAAGTTTCATTTTTCAATTCCAAGCGATTAAAGCGTTAACTGGTCCTTAACTTCATAATCAAAAACCCCTATTTTAAACGGGCGAAAGAATTTTTTCATTAACTTAATTTTCAATAACAGAATATAGGTCAGATATCCAAAGATATGTGTTTTAACTTTAATATGTGTTCAGATTAGATGCCATTTCCGGTTGACATATGTAGCCAAAAAGTTGATATAGATCTTACTGCAATATCAATGCACCAAATCATCAAAGCTTCATCTGTGGAACCAAATCTTGTGGTCGTTAGTTGTGGTCAACAATTTGGCAATCTCTCTGTGTGATCACGCATTTTTTATGCATACTCTCAGCCAATATCATTATTAATGCAAGAATTATTTCAATCTCGCCTCAATAATCAACTTAACCTCATTTTGAATCTAAGAATATGTCAATTCTATTTTACGACCAACCCTGATCACATTCTTCTACAGGAAAGCTTATTTCAAGCTGAATCATTCCAAAGAATAATAACGATCCAACCCAACTTCTTTCTCAACCCATAAAGAATACCATTACAACTTGTCCAGAATTGTGACGATAATCATTTTGGAAAAAATTGTAAAATTTGTAGCCACAAATTTATCGTTAATATAAAAATACCCAAATCGCACATTATAAGCAATATCTCAACCCGATCTGATTGTTAAGGTACCTACAGTTAAGCAGAGTTTCTAAAAAAACAAATATAGCGGGCGTCGCGATATTTTTTTCTCGAATAATATTGTATATTGTAATGAACCACATTCCAACCTTAATTTGAGTGGCCATAATAGTATATTATTCAACAAGCGTATAATGGCGGCTAATGGTAACATTAACATTACATTTACATTACATTTTAATGGTAACATCCATTATACGCAAGTTGAATACTATACTTTATCTACAACTATTTAATTTTGAAAAAAAAATCAAAAAAAGGAAAAAAAAATAAACTTGATAGACATTTCAGACATAACCTCAATATAAGAAAGCTGTCATTTCTGTTGATATTTTATTTTTTGATTAGTAGGCAGTGTCAGAACTGTGGAATAATGGCCTCATTATTCAACACTTTGTCTGTCATGAGTAATGAGTGTCATTACCCGTCAAAAATCAAATGTATAACGAATAGATAATTCAATAGTTGTAGATAAAATTATTTATCTACGACTGCTTGGATAAGTCATCATTACCGCACTCATTTGAGGTGATTTGAGTTACGTAATGAAGTTCATTACCGCACTGGTTTCATTGCGTAACGCATTTTTAGCCTAATCAGAACAGACTTAATTTATTGAAACGAGCAACAATACAAAAGAGAAAGTGCTTTCTACTTACAGAGAAACAATACTATTTATTTTAAAGATTAATTGTTATGTTTTTACATTTCAAAACACTTATTCGAGATGAGTAAACGTTGTTGAAACTGACAATTCAAAATTGTCAATAATCATTTCAAAATATTTTTATAAATGTCAAATAGACTATTCTAAAGAAATTGATTTTTTAGTAATTTTTAGCAGTCGTAGATAAAATGCTGTATATCACACGTGGGCTAGAGCATAATTACAGTACTCGTGTGATTACATTATTCTCCACACTCGTACTGTAATTATGTTTCTAGCCCACTTGTAATATAAATAACTATTATTTGCTCGTACTATGAAAGGAGTTTCATATTCCCAACTGATGTTTCGTCATATTAAACCAACACTGATCGAATTCAGCAAAAAGCTCCTTTAACATCTTTTTGTAGTGTTTACCAGTTATGGTTACACTGCTTTGTTGTTCATTATGACTTTGAATACGAAATCATCGTCTTATTGCACCAGGTTTAATAAAGCATGGGAGGAAGTTAACGAAGTCACTTGACGATCAGCAGGCAACAATAGTTTGGACTTTGTACAGTAATATCCTAAGGTCTTTCAACAAAATTTGCATCGTTGTGTCGCCGATGATGGTAGACTCTCTTGGAAGTCCTGTACCAGAGCAGTGATATTCTCTGCCAAACGAGCATTATGAGCCCAACCACTTCATGTGACGTCTCTAGGAGACTCAATTTGTATAAGACGCTCAATTGGACGCTTAATTGTTCGTGCACATGGTGCAGGACGACAAGGAAAATTAGAAATTGGTGACATAAGAAACAATATTTCTCTGTTATTCAGGGATGTATCGTTTAATTGCTTCTTGTCAACCAATTCTGTATCTGTCTATAACATAAGTGTCAAAGCACAATGACATACAACGCCATTTACAAATATTGAGACTTATGAAGTTATGACACATTATGACAATACATTTGCCTCGCCAAGTATCAATTTCATTTTGTTATAGCTTCTTTCTGCCTATTTTTTTCTTGCTGAATCAATTATATTCGCCTTCCAAATCTTACCTGATTTTTAATTTCGTCGTCTTGATCCTCATCTTTCAGATTTTAAATTTTTTTCTTCCTTTTTAGCTTTGATTTTTCTTTGTTCTTATCATATTTTTTGTATTATTACTGCTCTTTTCCCAACTTCAATTTCCCTTCTTCTTAATAGTTGGTATTAGTCATCTACTTGCTTTGTTTTTAATATCACTTTGTTTTATTTCTTCTATCATTCTGCCTTTATCTTTTCGCATCATCTTTGGCTGTTATATATTATTAGCATATTTTGCAGTAAGGAAGAAATGAAAATTGTTGGGTCATAAACGAATCTGAATTATTTCCTGGATTCACTTTTTTGACCAGTACAGTTTAACATGTAAGTATTTAAATTGTTATGTGTATTTCTTGTTTATGATTATTTTTTTCATTCCCTCTTATATGTTTCGATCTGAAGGATCATCATCAGCTTTTAAATAAACATATTAAAGTGTGTATATTAAAGTAAAACTTTTTTAATAAAAATACACCAAATAAGGAAGGTATTTGTTATTCTTGTAATTCATCCTAAAACCTCGAAAGATAGTATTACTCAAACGTTGACCGCTTGTGTGTCATAAGACCGGTAGCAGTAACAGAAGAAATAATACCACAGTGGCTACTAGTATTTTCTTGTAAAGAAAAGACGAAAAGGACCGAAATGGGCGGTCTCTTTCCCAACGGTCTCACAACACAGAGCCATGCTGCGTATAACTTACACCCATTCTCAAATTACCTGGTTAATAATGTATAATGGGCGATCTTCCGTATACGTTCCTTGTTATTATGCCAGCGTGTTGTTGTGCTGCTCGCCATTGATACACCACCTGGTTACACTGTATCAGAACGTATTGTGAGGAACGACGGCGACACGATCGTTCTTTTTGTTGCGCTCAATAACCGAGGTTTCGACGAATTTTAAATTGAATCGTAAAATCGTTAACATTTTTATTGAATCGTTATTTTGTGTCGTCTTAAAAACTAAAAAAAAAAACATTTTGTGGTAATTATAACTAATATATTATCATATTAATAAATATATCTCATCGAGCAATTATAGCTCAA